GACGGAGAAGTGGTGCCTCGGGGCGCTCCCGGGATCCGAACCCGGGCCGCCAGCATCAGAGCGCGCGCACTTAACCGCTAAGCCACGGAGCCGGCCCTCACCTATTTTTTTTTGACTTTTTAAAATATCGCTGCTAGAAAATTTTAAATTACATATCTGGCTTAAATTATATCTCTATTGCACAGCACTGTTTTATTTTTTTTAATTTTTTTATTTATTTATTTTTCCTCCCAAAGCTCCAGTAGATAGTTGTATGTCATAGCTGCACATCCTTCTAATTGCTGTATGTGGGACACGGCCTCAGCATGGCCGGAGAAGCAGTGCATCCGTGCGCCCCCAGGACCGAACCAGGGCCGCCAGCAGCGGAGCGCGTGCACTTAACCTCTAAGCCACAGGCCAGCCCTGCACAGCGCTGTTTTAGAGAGAAGTCCAGACTAGTGTTCCAAGACACGACATCATTCTACTTGAACCATATCTTACCGGGGAGTTAGCTTCCATCGACCCATTTCACCGGTACCTGCGCACAGCGCGGGAGGCTGCAGGACTCTAAACCCCAGCTTCACAACCCCTGGCGTCGCCCCCAGAAAGACTACAAGGGCCAGGGTGCACTGCGCGCCTCTGGGGGCGGTGCCTGGAGGAGCAGCCATTTGTGACGTCACGTCCGCTTTGCAGCGCGCGTTCTGCTTGCTGTCTCCGTGGGCGCGCGTTGTGGAGGTGGGAGGGGAGCGTGCGTGAGGCGGTGGGGTCGCGGGGCCGAGGGCGCGAAAATGAGGGGCCGTGGGCTCTTGGGTGAGATGCCCTCCGTCTGACTTTCTCGAGCCCAGTTCGTATAGGAAGAGGTTGTGAGAACTGCGCCTCCCCCACGCGTGTGCCGTGAGAAAGTGCCGTTCCTTCCATGGAAGTGCCAATATGCTCCGCGTGAACAGCTCTCCCTGCGGGCGCGCGTGGGGCGTGTGGCCTGACAGCAGCAGCCCGCGTGACCCAAGGAGGCTGGCGCGCACGTGGTCTCCGCTTCTCGGACCTAGAGGGTCTCCTGTACCTGGCCGAGTGGACCCCACCCCGGGCCTAGAGACTGCCGAGAGGGGGCTCTGCCCTGCTGCCGAGGGTATGAGGAGGGGGCGTGAGCGAAGTAGGCTTCCCTTCCGACAACGCTAAAGCCTTTTCTCCCCTGGCAGGTGACCTGCCTTAACTTTTCTTTGGAAAGGAAGTGGGTTGTTAAGCTTTTGCAACTATTATAACATTTGCGATCTTGTGGGCAAAGAAATGCCTAACTGAGCTGTTATTTCATATTAAGTTACTGGAGATCTAGGAGAGAGTGGGTTTGAATTTTAGTGGACCCAGTATAGCAGAACATTTCATTTCAACTACTGTGCACACTCATCCAGACTCAGCTTCATGAATGAGATGATGATATAGTTCTTTATCTTAGGGAGGCAACGTTTCTTATGACGAGTTCTTTCTTCCTTAGCTATTGTAGTTTGTGATGCTTGCCTCTGGTTTAATTTCAGGTTGGTGCTAGAGTATCTGCCTTTGTAAGATATACTGCCTTGTGATGCCCCCCGCCCCCCACAGAAATGAGATAGAGATCCCTTCCAAACGGAGGACTCACGGATCTCCTGTGCTTTTATTTTGCTCCAAGAGATAACAAGACTTAATGCTGGTTCTGTCTTTAAAGTCGCAATTTATATTAGTTCCTGCCGGATTCTTTGTTTAAATCACTATGGTCAGATTTACCATGACCATTTATTGCAATAACAGGCCTGCACATTGGAACTGTTAGAAGATAGACTGAGGCATATTAAGATTTTTTTAAGTTGTTTTTTTTTTTTGTGAGGGAGATCAGCCCTGAGCTAACATCCATGCTAATCCTCCTCTTTTTGCTGAGAAAGACCGGCTTTGAGCTAACATCTATTGCCAATCCTCCTCCTTTTTTTCTTCCCCAAAGCCCCAGTAGATAGTTGTATGTGATAGTTGCACATCCTTCTAGTTGCTGTATGTGGGACGTGGCCTCAGCATGGCTGGAGAAGTGGTGTGTTGGTGCCCGCCCAGGATCCGAACCCGGGCCGCCAGTATCGGAGCGTGCGCACTTAACTACTAAGCCACCAGGCTGGCCCAAGATTTTTTTTAAGTTTATTTCAGCAAAAATCAGTTCCACTCGGGCAGCACCAAACCAGAAGTGGTTAGGAGCACTCTGCAGATAGAAGCCAGGAGAAAGACAGAGAAAGTGCAGAAGCAAGAAAGGAAATTACTTGATTGGCTATAGCTTAAAGGTTGGTTGTCTGGCTGTGACTGGTTGTACTTAACACTTTGATTTTGTAACCCTGGGGCATTTACAGGTTTTGATCTTGGATTGCTTACATAGGCAGCCAGGGCTTTAGAGCCACATCAATCTACTGATCTTCTTGTTTCATTTAAGACAGTGCGGGGTGGGGGGGGGCCGCTTCTTGTAGAAATACTAGTTTTCAGAAGCTACATGCACTGGGGCGCAGTAAAGCCTTTTTTTTTTTTAAACACTTAGCTATATCCATCGCCATATGATCTCCTTTTCTACTAAGAAGCTTTTTATACATTTGAGTCCAAATGAGAGCATTGAGCGAGCATCGGTAGAGTCAAGAGTGGGAGAGTTTCTAGCAAAGTATCCTAGCCCTGTTTCAGGTCTGATCTGCTGAATGGTTTTTAATTCATGGCTTTCCGTGCCCATTACAGTCTCCCTGCCCCCGAAGGAGCTCAAGGCAAATCAATCAGGAAAAATCAAATGTTCTTTTTTGTAGTATTAATCACAGTTGACATTAATTATGCTGAACATTGTAGCAATTGTTTTTTAATAAATATTATTTAATCCTCACAATAACCCCATGGATTAAATACTACTGTTATCCCTATTTTAACAGATGAAGACACAGACAGAGATATTAAGTAATCTACCCAATATCACATAGTTAATTTATAGCAAAGCCAGGATTAGAACCCAGAAAGGGTAACTCCAAAACCCACACTCTTCAGCACAACTCCTATGAGGAGAACACATGACTGGTGAGAAACCTCTGGGCTCTGTCACTTCTCTCCTCTGCATCATAAAACATAATAGGAGAAATTAAAGAGTTACCTTCCTGATGGGGGCATCAGTGGAGATTTACTGGAGGGAGATAAAGAACCAGTCTGGTGTGAGGGAAAGAGAAAAGTAAAACACCTGAAAAAGAGGATGGAAAAAAACATCTGCCTAGAAAAATAAACCTTGTGTGGTGAGAGTCTGCCAAGGCGAGCTGAGGTCTGCAGCCCTTTAGGTGCTATTTCCAAATGAGAAGTTGAGTAAGGAGGATACTTCCCTCTCATGTGCTTTCGTTTTGAGTGGTAGGTTCAGATTCATTAGAAACATGTCAGATAGCCAACATTAAAACAACTACCTTGAAGAAATAGGGTGTCTTCTGAGGTTGGTGGGATTTGGGACTTCTTTGATCTTTCCTTAAAGATGAAAAGGGGGTGAGGAAGTAGTAGGAGAACATGACCCCCAGAGTTCCAGATCGAGAAGCCTCAGTATGAACATGGTTGGAAACATCTGAAAGCCTGGTGAAGCGGTGGTGTGAGGTAGCATCTTGCATTGGTTCTCCTTTCTGTACTTCTCATGGTTGTGGTTTTTGATCAGGGCCTCAGCACCAGCTCAGACCATGTGGACCGCGGATGAGATTGCGCGGCTGTGTTATGAGCACTATGGGGTCAGGCTGCCCAAGCAGGGGAAGCCTGAGCCCAACCGCGAGTGGACATTACTAGCAGCTGTGGTGAAGATACAACCTGCAGCTGACCAGGCCTGCGACTCTCCTGACAAACCAGCACAAGGTGAGACCTTTTCTCCTTGGAAGAAAAGGTCTTCTTGTCAGATATGGTAGAATTATACACGGCTATGCAGGGACAGTCGTTGCCAGGTGTAAACTGCGATGTTGGGCATGTTCCCCTGCTCTCCGCCAGGTGGCGCAGTACTTCTGGTGCCGGGACATGGCCAGGCTGGAGCTGCAGTTCTCAGTTGGGTCAGCCTATGGGAATGCTCTGGAGGAATGTGCAGACTTAAACCTGAGGATTAGGGACCATTCGGATTCTGAGAGCTCGCTTAATGATTTGTTCTTTTCCCCTCAGTGACAAAGGAAGTTGTCTCAATGGGAACAGGAACAAAATGCATAGGCCAGTCCAAAATGAGGAAGAGCGGTAAGCCTGGGTGGCATCCAAACATTGCCTGTCTAGGGAGCTTTGGAAACTGGTGTCCACGTTGCCCTTTCCTCTCCTTCTCAGGGCAAAGGGGCCATATTGCTGAGGTGGCTGACCTTTCAGATGCAACTGGCTGTTGCTCCAGTTGGAAGGACAGAACTTACTTAAAGAATGGAAATAAGTGTGGAAACAAAGGCCACCAGGAGCATGCTTTCTGAGTGGATTGAAAGTTGGCCAGTATTTTCATGCTCAACCAAAAGTTCCCTGGGGTTAGCTATTCCACAGCATATCTGAAGCCCCAGAAAGCAATCTTGAATTAAATGGAGATTTTGGCACCAAAAAGAATATGGAAATTCCTTAGAGGTCTGGCATCTTCAGCTTCTGCTTCCAGTTGGCAGAGTCCTCCTGGAGTTTGCTTCCTTCTCCTCTCTTGCCTCCTGTATATGAGGGAGCTAATCCAGGACCACTATGGATTGAATTCAATGGAATTGTATCACCACGAGCACAAGTATGATACCAGGGTTCAAAAGATCTGGACCCCTGTCCTCCAGATAAAGATTCCCCTATAGATCAGTAGTTCTCAGCTAGGGGAGATTTTTGCCCCTCAGGGGACATTTGGCAATGTCTGGAGACATTTTTAGTTGTCACAGCTTGGGGGAGTATGCTACTGGCCTCTAATGAGAAGAGGCCAGGAATGCTGCTAAACATCCTATAATGCACAGGACAGAGCCCCACCGCAAAGAATTTTCCAATCCAAAATGTCAGTAGTGCTGAGTTGAGGAAACCCTGCTGTAAATGCTTTTCCGCTAATGATTGTGATGCTTTCTGGCAAAGCCCTCCAGGAGCTACATGGCCACCCTGGGTACTGCGGGAAACTGCTGTGTTCTGCTTCGAGGAACCAGGGCCTCTCCAGGTTCCATATGTCTTCACTAGTGTCCTGTCTTTGCCACAGGAGACATCCTCAATGATAGCCATGCTGAGGTCATAGCCAGAAGGAGTTTCCAAAGGTAAAACCACATCCCCAGAGAGTCTGATTTAGCCTGGGGTGGGGGCCCCAGAATTTGTGTTTCTAATAAGCTCCCAGGTAATACTGATTATGTCGGCCTGTGAACTACACTTTGAATAGCACTGGTCTAGACAGTGGTTCTCATGCTTGAGTGCACATCAGAATCACCTAGATGGTTTGTTAAAGCCCAGATTGCTGGGCCCACTCCCAGAGATTCTGATTCAGCAGGTCCAGGGTGGAGCCTGAGAAGTTGCATTTCTAACAAATTCCAGATGCTGCTGGTTCAAGGACCACACTTTGAGAATCAGTGGTCTAGATCATTCTCATAACTCCAAATCACCACTCCCATTGGCCTGCAGTAACTCTTTCTTTCTTAATCACCCAGCCACAGTCTTTTCCTTTACCACAGAGAATGGTTGTTCGTTCTAGCATCCTGTCCCCGTTAGGTACCTTCTCCATCAGCTCCACTTGGCCGCCGCCCTGGAGGAGGATAGCATCTTTGTCCCAGGAACTCAGAGAGGACTGTGGAAACTCAGACCAGACCTCTTGTTTGTGTTTTTCTCCAGCCATACACCCTGTAAGTATATTCAAGCCTTTAGGTTAATGTTACATTGTCTACTTCCTTATGTTTGTCTTATCCATAGATATGTTTCTCAAAAAAGCACTTCTGTCTGAAGTGTAGCTACAACTGATGACAATGCCTTTTTGTGAACAGGCCAGTGTGCCTAATCACTTCTCTACCAAGGAAAGGTAGCGGGGCAGAGGGAGCCTCACTCATACAATTATTCAGTTCTCAGTTCCCAGTCAGGACTGGAAAGCTTAAAGATAAAACCCCACAAGTTCTGAAACCAACAATAGGGCTTAGAAGTCCAAAGGCCTGAGTTCTATAGGAATTTATCCTGAAACTTATTTCATTCATTCATTCAACAAATATTTTCTGCCGCTTGTTGGGCAGATACTGGGTATATAGCAATGAATAAATCTAGTCCCTTGCTTACCCTCATAGAGTCTTTTAGGAAGTATAGACAGTCATGGTTAGTTAAGGTAAATTTTGCTGAGTTATAAGAGGATGTTCAGATGCTGTGATTGCATTAGGCAGGAAGACCAGGCCTAAACTAGGGAGTCATTTCTTTTTTTTTAATAATTTTATTTATTTATTTTTTTCCCCCAAAGCCCCAGTAGATAGTTGTATGTCATAGTTGCACATCCTTCTAGTTGCTGTATGTGGGACGCGGCCTCAGCATGGCCGGAGAAGCGGTGCGTTGGTACGCACCTGGGATCCGAACCCAGGCAGCCAGCAGCAGAGCATGCGCACTTAACCGCCAAGCCACGGGGCCGGCCCAGGGAGTCATTTCTATCCTCTGTTTTTCTGTCTTGAAAATTGAGAATAATTTCTACCCTTTGTAGACAGCAGCTCAGGGATGGCAGTAAAATGTCTACACCCTAAAAACTTTGAAATAAAGATGTAAGATTGTCCTCTGAGTATTAAACTTTAAAACCAATACATGCAATTAGAGATAGGTAATCACTCTAAAGAGACAGAATAGCTGTCAAGACTTGATCATAACTCAAATCAAAAATGTAATATAGCTTTAGAAAGAATGAGTCTATCAGAAAAGAGTTGGTTAAAAGTCAAAGGTCGGAAAAATAACACACAGAGGTAGGCAGGGCTCATCCATGCTCTGTTCTTAGCAGTGGGTGCCCTGGTCCAAGGACCAAAGGATGTTTCCTAACTCAGTGCTTCCCAAACTGTAATATTCATATGAATCACCCAGGGATCTTGTTACAATGTAGATTCAGATTCAGTAGGTCTGGGGTGGAGCCTGAGGTCCTGCATTTCTAACCAACTCCTGGTTGATGCCAGTGGTGTTGGCTTGTGGACCACACTTTGAGTAGCCAAGGCCTAGCCAATCCCAGTGGCAGGTGTAGCCTTATTGTGGAGATAGATGCATCTGGGGATCACAGCTAGCCTGACCACCTCATCAAATTACATATACAGTGGTCCACAGACTGGTACTGCTCTGTGAGAGTGTACAGGTCCATGGCCAGGTGAGAAAAATCAGGACTATGTAGTGAGTTTTTTAAAAAGCTAATTTCTTTCCATTTAAAGGTTATAAGATTTTTATCTTTTTTTTTTAAATAATAGTAATTAGGATTTTTAAAGATCTTACTTGATGGAATAAAAGGTTGACAGCCCTCTGTTGATCTTAAAATCTTCTGTGGCCGGCCCCATGGCTTACCAGTTAAGTGTGCGTGCTCTGCTGCTGGCGGCCTGGGTTCGCATCCCAGGCACGCACTGACGCACCGCTTCTCCGGCCGTGTTGAGGCCACGTCCCACATACAGCAACTAGAAGGATGTGCAGCTATGACATACAACTATCTACTGGGGCTTTGGGGGGAAAAAAAAAAAGGAAGAGGATTGGCAATAGATGTTAGCTCAGAACCAGTCTTCCTCAGCAAAAAGAGGAGGATTAGCACGGATGTTAGCTCAGGGCTGATCTTCCTCACACAAAAAAAAAAATCTTCCGGAAATTTTACTGGTCTGTGAAATCAAAATCTAGAACCACTGATCTAACTCTCCTGGCTCGTGGGTAATCTTTTAAAATGTGCTCTCCACATGATTTGTCTGCAGGAAGAAAGAACACTACCTAGAGAATGTGACGATCTGGCTCCTTTGGCATTTATTCCTCATTACTAATTGATAATTTAGTGCCTCAGTTAGTTACTTCGGACTCTTACTTGTGAGTTTTATTAGCGTGAGTCAGCCTCTCCCTCTCGAGTTCAGGCATCTGTCAGGATCAAATCTCCGAGTCTTCGGAGTGGGAGGTGGGCCCCAGTGAATTCTCCAAAGTCACTGTCACCTTGTGAGATCTCTGGAAGTTGGCCAGCTGGCCTCTCTGGCAACAGTCCCACTTCTACATCTCCTGCCTTTCCCACTCTTAGGTTATAAAGGCTACGGATGTATTATTTACACACTTTACAAAAGCAACACACGTGAGGTTAGTGTTTAAAGAGTAGCTCCCTTCTCAAGGAGAAGCTGTGCTTTTTACTAACCTCTGGTTTTCCTTGATTCCCTGTAAGCAGAGAGTAGGTCAGCAGTCTCTAGGGCCAGCCCGTGGCTTAGCGGTTAAGTGAGCGCACTCCGCTGCTGGCGGCCTGGGTTCAGATCCCAGGCGCGCACCGATGCACCGCTTCTCCAGCTGTGCTGAGGCCGAGTCCCACGTACAGCAACTAGAAGGAGGTGCAGCTATGACATACAACTATCTACTGGGGCTTTGGGGGAAAAAAATAAATAAATAAAATTAAAAAAAAAAAAAAAGAAGAAGTCTCTAGGGGCCGGCCCCATGGCTTAGCGGTTAAGTGCGCGCGCTCCGCTGCTGGCAGCCCGGGTTCGGATCCCGGGCGCGCACCGACGCACCGCTTCTCC